AAGCCAGAACTCGAGGGCTAACCAGACTCCCCAGCCGGATCCGATTGATCTCTCTCAATTCAGGCTCATAGAAGAGTATCCGTCGGCAAATTGTCCAGTGCATGGCTCCCGGTCAAGATCCGGAACCGGTAGTCGACAACGCAATACCCCTGATTCAAGATCCCGAACACAGAACCAAGTATCGAGGCAGCCAGCGAATCCTAGCTACAATAATGTAGCGAACGGTTCGCCTCCCGTTAGAAGACGACCCTCGAGGTCTGGAGTATCCCAAACCCCAGATACCCACAACTATTCTCTTCAGTCATCTCTTCCTTTCAGAGACTTACCTGGACCCGAAATTATAGTACGGGCTGCGACCATTGGCCCAGGCCATGAGATGACAACGGAGTCATCTATTCCTTGGGGCAAAGACTCAGCAGCTGCCGGAATGGAACCAAAGACGCCAGTTGCCATGGTCCTCGTGTTTGAACAGGAAGAGAAACCGATCCCACCAATGAAATGTGTCGATAGAAGCATCCTCAACGAACCAATCATGAGACCGAGAAGCGCGGTCTGGTAACTGGCATTGCACAGCGTTTTGGCATTCATGCTATTGGCAACATTATGGCCTCATTTTAGTATGGCTTTACAATTTCTGTTTTATTTATATTGTTACTTCTCCATTTGTTTCTTTACTTCTTTTTGGATATGGAATTACAGCAACTCTGAGCGAGGCGTTGGACCCGAAATCCCATGGCACTTTGATGAACCACACTACAGGTACAACACCCCGCGCGGGGTTGATTGAAGCGAAAGTCATGTTTTTATGAGAATTGACCTTTACTTCCTCTGACCATATGAGCCCTGTTCAGACTACAAAAACTCAGTGCATGATCTACCACCACAGAGCTGGACAAATATGGATAGCACCCATCTCGGAACAACTGCCATCCACCCCAAACACCAACATTGCCAAGTGGCTGTCAAAAAAACAGGGACTGCAAAGTCACCTCGGCAGAATTTTTGTGGCAGTCAGTCACATAACAATGCTTCCTATTGTAAGTAAATAATATTGCCTAATAATTACTCACTAACCTAGTGTTTTTATTAACTATTTCTATCAATATCGTGGCCTGTATTGGAAAGTTGGGATTAAAACACCTTTGCAGTCCCTGTTATTCTGACACCCACTTGATTGCCTCTTTGCCTTCCAGCAGGTCCGACGGCAGGTACCCACGATGGTGAGAACAGGGGTTCTTTCGGCACACCGTTCAGTGGCCAAATTCCGGACCAACGAGCGGGCGAGGCAGGGGGCCGGATCATAGCGGCGGCAGATGTGTGTGAATGTAGCAGGGATTATTGCAGACCAGCGGCCCGCGCTTTGCCTTGAATGGTCCAAGATTGAGCAAGCCCCTGGAAGCCCCCCACAGCTGCGCGCTTGCTCGACACTGCTTATTTGTCGAGAGCTGGCCCCCTCCCCAATCACCAGCGCCCCAACCCCCGTGATGAACACTTGCCCGCCGCTTTCCAGGCCATATTTGACCGCGGAAAGATGCTCATAGTACGATTCGGAAGGCCTTTGGACCGTCCGGATCCCAAAATCACACTCTGGGTTGGCTCATCTTGCGTCGGGACCCGCCTAAATGCTCCATGGTGTCGTGTTCTGACCCTGTTCATGTCTAGCTCCCGGATTTCATCACACTCGATAGTATTGTCGCCCTGCGGTGGAATCCAGGCATGGACAACGCCCCATGCTTGACCTGCACCTCATCACGCTGTTTTGCACCAACAAGTGTCTTGGGATCGTTGCAACCGTTCCTCGGCGGCGTCTAATTCCGATCTTATATTGCACCTGTGTACCCATCCACAGCTCTGCAGACGCCGGAGCTCTTCTCACTCAATCCCAGTGTCATGTAGCACAGGGCCGATCCAGAGCTGACTGCGCGCGCACAAAGAAGATAACGCATCAAACAAACCATCTCATCAGCCATCAATCTCAGGCCTGGGCAGCCATCTAGAAGGCGTCGCTCCGCTGGGAGATCCTACAGCCAAGGCCGCAGCACGAGCCATCACGAGTCGGCAGCAAGATGCAGATTCTAACCACATTCCTCGTCGCTGCAAGCGCAGTGCGGGCGGTCCTGGTGACCTCCGGCTCGACCTGTTCCAGCAGCTGCGGCAATATTCTGGACAAAACGGCCGAGGACGAAATGACTTGTTTGCAAGCCGGCTACGACAAAGGTAGTGGTGCAGTATTTAAAACCTGCCTCGAGTGCGAAATGTACAGTGACTACTCGAATGGCGAGGAGTCGGACACCGCATCGCTACTCTGTACGTCGCCGTACCCTCCATGCTATTTTCCAACTTGCCCCCCCATGCTAATAGGCGCAATCCCAGATAATATGCGATTTGCAATCAAAAGCTGCCTTTTCGAGGCTGAAACCAACCAATGCATAACAGAGTATGATGAATCCCCCTCATCCCCACACCCATGAACCCGACTGACTGGTGTGCGCCTTGTAGGGAAGCATGCAAACCCTTCCAAAACTCCATATTATATGAAAATTCCAACGTCACAGACGGGGTACGAAACTATGAATTCTGTGCCTCCTGGCCACTCTCGGATACAAGACACATGTCGCAATGCAAAAGCTGTCTGCTGGCCAGAGATCAAGACTATTTGGCCAACTGTAAGCACTCTATTCCCTCTGTGATGATTCGCTCCCGTTACTGACGAATGCGCTCGTGCACAGTTTTTACGGTTCTCCAGGGCGCTTGTGACCAGCAGCCCGAACTCTCGTATACAGTTGCTATCGAGGGTGATATCTTCTCCACGACCATGGTCAATGTCACATCCCCAACACCCAAGGCATCAATTGATCCAGCATGGTTTGATGATGGACCATTGGACCTTAACGCGAAGGCAGGCATCGCTGCCGGCGGGTTTGTGTTTATTCTAATGATCATTGGCTTTTGTATCATTTGGCGCGGCAGGCGAAGACGAAGAGCCTTCTTGCGCGACTACGAGACCAAGTTCAAGCGTAAGAACTGGCCTGCACCTCTGCAGACACAAAATATGCAGGAGACGACTGACACCCCGTTGAGCCAGCGGCCGCTCAAGTTCTGGGATGACTCCCCAGCATCAGAAGAACAGGCGTTTCCTCGCTACTTTTCGCCGTACTCCTCGCAGTTCAGCAGCCCTGTGAGTGGGACCGACGCGCAACCACAGAATCATCAATGGCCTCAGGCGCAGACTACGTCCGTGACTCCGCGCAGCATAGGGCTAGCATTCGCAGGGGACTCGCCTGTGAACGGCGACTCTAAGGGCAAACAACCAGAGGAGGCATATGAGATGCATCATGTAGATAGGCACAACAACAGCAAATCAAATCTCAGTAACGAGGTCAGCGGCTACGGCTTTCCGGCAGAGGCAACTATCCCCCCGCGGATCAACAACAAATACAGAGTTCACATGGGAGACGGTACAGCGGGTCTTACCGGAATTTCTCAGGAAACAGGGGGGCACAGATATAGTGATGCGAACCAATAATTGGATGAGTGATGAGACTTTGATTGGGTGCTAGGAGTTTGGTGGTAGTAATGTCGTCTTTTGTATAATTCCATAGCTCTATCGCAGTGCTCGTTTGGAAACATGGCAGGCGAGGGTGCCTCTATCCAAAGGCTGCGGGTTTAGTCAACCAATGTACATACATGTTCATACGTACCTTAATTACCGTTTGCAATATCTCCGTTTTAGGATAAGCATTTAAGGTTGCGACTCTCAAAGTTAATGAGTCTATTTTACGATGTTGAAGCTAAATATGACTACCTCAGTCAGAATCCAACTCACAGCCTAGCGAGCTCCTTTTTTTATACAATGGTATGTCCAAAGAGCCTACATGTATTTTCAATTGCATTCCTTCACATGTCCCTGTTCAAGGTCAATTGCAAATTGTCTGCAATTTCTTCCCTTAAGATGTCCGTTTCGTTGAGGCTGCCTACCCGGGAGCGTCTTGACAACCACGATACTTTGGGGCTAAAATCAGGGGATAATAAACGTTTTCGGTTGAAGATGGGTGAGGTGAAGTTTAATACTCGCATGGCCGGGTTCGTAAGAGATTCAGGTACTTTTTAGGGTTTCCGACTAATGGGCAAGGTAGGTTTTGTAGCACAGTAGGGGTTCTATCCAGTTGTGGCGATCATCCCAAGAAACTTCCAGTGTGTGCAGGGTTTCAGTAGTGGTCTACTTCCCAAATGAGGCTTTTGGTCCGTCATATGTGTCGACACAGAGTAACTACTTAGTTTATACTCGGATCGAAGTAGAACGGTCGTTTCGTACTGGGGTTGCGACACAATCCGTTTGAGTAACCCGATACTCTTGTTGGGAGCCGCCCGTGACGCCCTACCTGTCCGGAATACGATGCATTACACGAACAGTCGTGAGTATCATGAGTTTCATGAAATAAAATAATATCTACATACGCCGTGGGCAGTCATACACTTCTCAAGTATCGGGCTAAGCTGGGTTGCAAGTGATCACATGAGTTGCGGTTTGCAATTGGCAGGAATTACCTGGGTAAGTTTTGGCAGCTTTGATTCTGTAAGCCGATGTGGGACCTTTCTGAGATAGAAGGACCTGTATCTCCAATGGTCGAAATAATGAGAAGATCAGCTTGGACTGTCTGATGATACTGCCTGCGATGAAATAGGACCTTCATTTGCGCGACTGACCGCCTTGGGTGGGTCCCCATGTGTGGCTTGGTAGCTGTGGCGCTTGAGAGAAAAACCGAAATATCGTACTCGGACTCCCCACTTTTAACACCAGCCACATCCTCTACTGGTGGACGAAGCTTTTGACCCACTCACAGAAAAAAAAATTTGGAAGCTGTTCCATCGGCAAAACATCACCACCGACCGCAGGAAAATTCATCTTGCATCTGCCTTCCCGACGCAATTGTCTTCTCGAGAGAGGCTCCCGACGGTCGGTTACATTATCAAAAGGGAATCAAACAGCGGAAATGACCATGGACGTAGTTTCCAAGCAGGAGGATGAGCACATCATCAAGCCACAGGCCGTGACACCTGCCATTGACACGAGCTCGTGGCCTCTCCTCCTCAAGAACTATGAAAAGCGTGAGTCCGGAATCGCTCGCGGGATGGCATTTCCGGATCAGCCGTAGAGAATACTGACACATTGGCCTCTAGTTCTCGTGCGAACCGGCCATTTTACCCCAATCCCCAATGGCTGCTCGCCTCTGAAGCGCGACCTCAAGTCGTACATCAGCTCTGGTGTTATCAATCTCGACAAGCCTTCCAACCCTTCCAGTCACGAGGTTGTGTCCTGGGTTAAGCGCATCCTTCGGTTCGTTCCACTGTGTGATATTCTCCTTGTTTCTGGTTGCATTTTTCTGACTGAGATGGGTTCTGTAGCGTTGAGAAGACTGGCCACAGCGGTACCCTCGACCCCAAGGTCACCGGATGCCTTATTGTTTGCATCGACCGTGCCACTCGACTGGTCAAGTCCCAGCAGGGAGCCGGAAAGGAGTACGTGTGCGTCATCCGCCTGCACGACAAGTTGCCCGGTGGTCAGCCTCAGTTCGCCAAGGCCCTCGAGACCTTGTCCGGCGCTCTCTTCCAGCGCCCCCCCCTGATCTCCGCTGTCAAGCGCCAACTTCGAATCCGAACCATCTACGAGAGCAAGCTCATTGAGTTCGACAATGACCGCCACCTTGGTGTCTTCTGGGTCAGCTGCGAGGCCGGAACCTACATCCGTACCCTTTGCGTACATCTTGGTCTCCTCCTTGGTGTCGGCGCTCACATGCAGGAACTGCGACGTGTGCGTTCTGGTGCCATGGACGAGAACAAGCACCTGGTCACCCTGCACGATGTGCTTGACGCACAGTGGACGATGGACAACACTCGCGACGAGTCCTACCTCCGAAGAGTCATTTCTCCTCTGGAGACCCTCCTGACCTCCTACAAGCGCCTGGTTGTCAAGGACAGCGCTGTCAACGCTGTGTGCTATGGTGCCAAGCTTATGCTTCCAGGTCTCCTCCGATACGGTAAGCGCCACTATTGAATTTTGAGGTGTTCTTTCTGACAGGTTTGGCTAACAACGTTCTACAGAATCGGCCATTGAGCACCAGGAGGAGGTTGTGTTGATGACCACCAAGGGTGAAGCTATTGCATTGGGTATTGCACAAATGTCTACGGTTGAGATGTCAACGTGCGACCACGGCGTTGTTGCCAAGGTCAAGCGATGCATCATGGAGCGCGACCTGTACCCCCGCAGATGGGGGCTTGGACCTGTCGCCCAGGAGAAGAAGAAGCTCAAGGCTGACGGCAAGCTCGACAAGTTCGGACGACCCAACGACGCCACTCCTTCCAAGTGGTCTTCAGAGTACCAGGATTACAGTGCCTCGGATGCTGCCGCTGCCGCCGCCGCCGCCACCCCCCAGAAGCCAATTGAGGCAGCCAAGGAGGAGGCAAAGGAGGAAGTTAGCACCCCTGCTGCTGATGACAGCGACAAGAAGAAGCGCAAGAAGCACGATGGCGAGACACCTGATGAGAAGGCTGAGCGCAAGCGTCGGAAGGCCGAGAAAAAGGCCGCCAAGGCCGCAAAGAAGGCTGCCAAGGGCGAGGCCGACGACGAGGACAGCGACTAAGTGCAGGGAAAGGAGAGTGCCTGGGTGCTTCCAAGGTTTAACCATTGATGGACTAGCAAAGTCAAACGGATCTCAGCCGCATTGTTTGCCTAGGAGCCTCCTCCGCTCTTGCTGTACCATTAAAAAAGGTTGGCTTTTACCATGTTGGGATATGGCGTTGTTGGATTTCGTTTTTTGCTTCTGCATATCTTGGCTTGTTTTCAACGTTTTCAGACAAACCTTAGTATCTTGTTATTAGGAGTAGACGAGGCTGATATCTGAAAGAAATATTTGACCCAAAGAACATTTAGTACCGAGAACGACCGTTACTCCTCATTATGCTATCTAGTGAGACTCGACAGATATTGCCAATAAGCTACCTATGCATAAATCAGAGATACTAGGGCAATCGCAGTTCAGAATATTACTGAAGCGGTGGTGCAACTGCAAACTACCTCCGCGCCCAATCCCCCCGACAGTATTGGGCGTACTAAAGCTGCGGCGACGTGGCCGGAAGTGGTGATGATTGGGAACTGGCTTTCGAGCAAATGGCCGCTTTGGTGGTTTCGCCAAGAGCAGAAGGTGAGACAAGGCTCAGCGTTCCTCCGGCGGGGAAAAGCAAAGACTGACACGGTGCGATATTTTTGTATCCACACCAGTTCGTGCCGGAACGAGGTCCCCTTAAACCTTGACGGGCGGCAATCGGCAAGGCGATCTCTCAATGCGGTACGGCGCCAGTCACACTCGATGGCGTGGTTTGCCCGCTGGTGTCTTGATAGAGAGACTCATCCAGGCATCTGGCTGGGTTATTCTTGTCGGATGAGGTTTACCCCTCCTCCAAGGTTGAGCAAGTGAGACAGGAACTGCCACATCCGGATATTGGGTTTTTGTTTTTTACTTTGTTCCTGATCTAATTCACGGTGTGGGAGTGAGGATCTGCCTTGCCCCTCTAATGATGCTCGGCGAGAGAAACACCAGGTAAAGGAGAGCCCACCTTGGACCCGATTCTCACGGACTCATGGACTCTTGGCTCTTGTCATCTGCCAGAGATCGTCCTTACCAAGTGTGCCTGAGTGTCTTGTCTTGTCTTGCCTCGCGCTCGGTTTATTACCATTTCACAGGGTTATGAAGTTTTTGAGCACTCGAATGCATCTTAGAAAACACGCGCAAAGGGAAATTTGAACAAGATTGTCCTGCAGGGGACAGGGTGGGGTCTTTCACCAAACCAGCTTCGTCGTGCTCCTTTATTGCATTCCTGTGTCTTTGGTCAACGTGAGCTAAGGCATGGCACGGAGTGGGAAACATGATGGACTCCCAAGAGGATAAAGACCCGACCATGGTACCGCCATGGAGTGAAAGAGAGGACCAGGCTGGCCAGCAACCTCTTTACTCTCTTTCTTTGGTACAAGCCCTATCCCATCCTTTTCAAGCCGCAGCGGCGTGAGAACATGATGGCCATCCTCTCTGCCCTTCTGGGCTTCTTATATCTGTCAGTTTGCACGTCAAGCACCCCTCTCGAATCTGAGGGAGGCCGTTCTCTGAAGCTCAATATCGCCGATAATGGTGGTCTTGGCTATAGAATGCCATTCGACTTTCCAGATCCCTCAGTGATCCGGGGACGAGATGGTAGGTGGTATGCCTTCGCAACCGAAGGCAACGGCAAGTCTGTCCAGGTGGCATACGCGGATGACTGTTTTGGACAATGGAATCTGCTGGACTACAACCCTCTCCAGGGCAGCTCATGGACAAGCGGCCGCAACACCTGGGCCCCAGATGTCCGGGAACTGGGTGATGGCAGCTACATCATGTACTTCACCGGGGAGGTGCCAAACAGCCACCGCCACTGCATTGGCATTGCCCGCTCCTGGAACATCGTGGGCCCTTACCGGCCTGACCCAAACCCCTGGATATGCCCTTATGACCAAGGAGGAGCCATTGATGCGTCTGGCTTCGTCGATCCCGGCACCGGAGATCGATACGTCGTCTACAAGGTCGACGGCAACTCCCAAGGAGCCCCTACGCCCTGCGGGACTGGTGTCGACGACCCAAACATGCGCACACCCATCATGCTCCAGAGGGTTGGGGCAGACGGCTCAACCAAGCTGGGCGGTCCCATTGAGATCCTGAACCGCGTCCCTCATTTGGACGGCGCCCTGGTTGAGGCACCAAACTTGTCGCGGCGCCGAGATGGCACCTACGTGCTCTTCTACAGCAGCCACTGCTTCCAGGACCCCAGATACGACGTCAAGTACGCCTACAGCAACAGGATCGAGGGCCCCTACGTCCGCGCGGGGGGTCCTCTGCTGAGAGCTCCGTACTACGGCCTTCGTGCCCCCGGCGGAGCGACGAGCAGCGTCGATGAGCATGGCCACGAGTTCTTGGTCTTCCATGGCGACTGCGGGGATTCTCGGCGGTGTCTGTACTCGGCACAGTATTATTAGCCGTAGTCCTGGCCGGTCTTACTTTTCTCTCTTTGCTTCTTATCATGTCTTTTAGTCCTGAGCTGGGCGCAGTGGGTGGGTTGTGCTGAGTCCAGCATAGACCGCTCACTGTGCTTTGGGACACCGCTCGGGCTCAGGATGGTATAATTTGATTGTGTATATATTTGATTGAGTAGGGATATTGCCTGCCTAGTAGTAATAATGATAATCATTCGTTCTCACTAAAGCGACGTTAAGCTAAGACACGGTCCGTTGCCTGCCTGGAGGAGAGGAAAGTCAGTGAAAAGTGGAACCGGCAACTACAGTGTTTGCAGTGCGAGAGAATGTTTCTCGCACTGGGAACATGTCCCTTGTATCGTCTCACTCATTGACTCTATTCCTTGCTCACCGTCAAGGGTGTCATGATCCGGTGTGGGCTAGACAAATTATACACAGGAGGAATAGGCATTGACTGGATGATTTAGTGTGAGCACGCAGCGGAGAAACCGATACCATCATCTTCTAACCAGATCCGCTAGATATCTCGCGCACATCAAATTACCAAGCAATCAGACTACCGATTCACCTTCCACCGTCTCCGGGCCTCTGCTCTGGCAGCTCAAATAGACCGAGCAGCCATTCGCTCATTTGATTCTAGAAGCCATGGCCGCTCCTAGTTAGTACATGATCCGTCACGCAGCCCCGCACTCAGCCGCTTTTCCAAACCGCTTCCTATCGAACGGGACTGACCACCTCGAGTATAGGAACTAAGGGTGATATCGAGAGTATCTTGAATAAACTCGACACAGCGGACGAGAACAAAATTGAAAGCGCAGGTGAGTCGTTTTAAATATGCCCGCCGCTGATGCCTGCTCCTTTGGGCTCTAGCTTGCGGTCTTAGAACGTTCACATGATGGGGTCTGATCAGCGTCAACCTAGAAATTCAACAGCTGTTGACACAGCTCTACACATCTACCAGGACTCTTCGTGAAGATACCCTGCCGGCACTGTTCTCGAGACGGGGAGTGCGTATCTTGGGTCGATATGCATTTCAAGACACAGCAAAGCCGGAGCACATTCCTGCTCTACGGTGCCTGAACAATGTTCTCGTGAGGTCACCCCCATCGCGTCTGTTTCTGTCGTCAGAGATTGGAGCAGCCAAAATTGCGAGCCTCTTCAAGGTATATATCTCCCTGCGTTATTTTCTGGTTCGTTCAGTGAGAGATGCATTATCTTCTAACAGCCTTTTGTCCCTCTAGCGGCAAGACCCCGAGGATGATTTGGCCTTATCAAACATCGTTGTTTTCTCATGCCATAGAAACAGCCTTGATTTAACAGAGGTCCTCGAACAAGATACGCTTGCCACCGACGTCAACGCTGTGAGTTTCTCCTTTCTCGTGATTGATATCCACCCCTTTTGCAACTTCGAGTCTAACTGCGGAGGTCGATGCTCCGTGATAGATGATTGCTCGTCATGCGAAATCTGGACCCTTTCCCACGGCGGAGCCTACATCTTCTTCCGCAGGCAGTCTGAGACTCCTTGCATCACTCGCTTCGCGGTATGAGTCGCAGACGCACCTCTTCCTTGACTCGGTGGATCATGTGCTGGACATGCTGGCTAAGGTGACGGTTGGCTCGCCCCCTCTCGAGCCTCCAGTCTCTCTGTTTGTCAACTGTTTGCCCGTCCTTCCTGTCCAGGAGAAGACCAAGATCTCCGTCGAGGCAATCGGCAAACTCGTTGAGATTCTGAAGGCATCTGTTGCTTCATATGCGACCAAGGAGGATGGGAAAGACATCTTGCCCCTCTTGTTTGGCCTCCGTCGCATCGCCCAGTCCGAGGCCACCGAGGCAAAGACTCATTTGAAGGCCAGCATCATACCCACAGATGAGGACCGCCATGAGGCCCTCGGCAAAGGCCAAACACTACCGCACAAGATACTGAACTTGTCGAGTGAATCCGTGTTCCCCGAGGTCCGCGAAGTCATCATGTCATTGTTCTTTGAGCTGTCAGATAAAGATCCGTCACTGTTTGTGCACAACGTCGGGTTTGGCAATGCTGCCGGCTATCTCTCTTCTCAGGGGATTGAAATCTCACAGAAAGAACTCGGAGCAGCTTCGAACGCCCATATCAACCCGATCACAGGACAGAGGGTCGATTCCGAGCCTGACACTATCCTGCCAGAAATGACGGACGAGGAGAAGGAGCGCGAGGCAGAGCGTCTTTTCGTCTTGTTTGAACGGTATGCATCCCCCACCCCCTCTCTCAATTGCTGAAACGATTTTCTTCCATCCAAGGAAAAGAGTTCGCAAACCGAACCAATTACTAACAACCGCCTCTTAGATTGAGAGCAACGGGCATAGTTGATGTCGAGAACCCGGTCGTAACAGCAGCCAGGGAGGGGAGGATAGAAGAACTACCATCTGACGATGACGAGGAGGAAAAGAAAGATGGTAAGGGGAAATAAGGCGAGCTCTGGATTAGTTGCTTACTTGCTCAAATACGTTCATCCTTGTTAAGGGTGTTAATGTGAATTATGTGTTTTATGTCTATACTTTCCCAATTACTGAATATATGGGCGAAATAGCCACCCCATTCGAACTGCAGACCTCATGATTTTGATACAAGTGTAATTTCCCCAATACTGCCCATAAATATACCAACCGCTTGATCCTCCCACTTCCATTAACCCAATGAGGAGGACCCTCGATTTACAGCTTGCCCTTGAGGAGGTTCCCAATCATCTCCCTGCCGGTGATCCTAGTAGTCTTCCAGAGAGTCGGGATGTCGAGGGTGCTGGACAGGCCGTCGGCGAACCCGAAGAAGAGCATGGGGGGGATCCAGCCGCGCGCGTACTCGAGGGCGAAGCAGCTCTCGGGCATCTTGTACTGCTTGACGTCGCCGCGGCGCAGGTGGTGCACGCTGCCCTGGGGGTAGACCTCGGGCTCGTACTCGCCGGGGACGTAGGCCAGCTGCACGCCCGAGAGGATGTGGAAGTAGTCGTCGGCGGTGTGGCGGCCCGTGTGGCCCTCGGTGCCGACCGCGGTGCCAAAGACGATGAGGTACTCGGTGACGCCTGGAGAGTTTTCCATGTTAGCTTTAGATTTCTAATCGGCTGGAAGCAAAAGAGCGGGAAGAAGGCTCGGAGATGGGACGTACTGGCGTGGATGATGTACATGGCGCCCATGGCACCGCCGGCGTTGTTGAAGACCCAGTCCTCCTCGAGGTTGACGTGCGCGGGCGACCTCTCGCTGAGCTCGGAGACGATGTAGGACACGACGCCGCGGGTGTCGTTGCCGTGGGCGGCGATGGCGCGCTTGGAGACGTCGCCCAGGTGGTCAATGTCGAAGATGTAGAACTTGTCCAGGTTCTGCTCGACCATCCAGACGACGGCCGACAGCAGGCCGGTCATGACGGCGAAGATGGCCAGCAGGCGGCTGAGACCGCCGGCAGCGGCGGGTTGCGACTTGGGCGGCATTGCGTCCTAGAGATGGGAAGAAGATATAGAAAATAGATGGAAGGGCGTTCCAAATTAAGAAAAGGGAGCGAATGAGGAAAAAATACAAAGAGGGACGACAGCAATGGGTGCCAACCAAACCCGATAATCTCCTAGATCCGGGGCGGGACGCGACATGGGGAAGACTAAAAGACCCTGGATTCTGGTTCAGGGACGGCATTTTGCCTCGTCTCACCGCTCGGGACCCGAGAAGCCCGGATGGGCCGATCGCCAAGTTCGTAGATCATAAGCGCTATCTCACTCATTCTCTTGCACTCCAATGCAATACTACGAGCTTCCCAGTATCTGATTCGATGGCTCTTGAGATGTCGTGATTTTAAGCATACATACAATTGGCGCGTTTGGTGGTTGAGAACGCCGGCGCATACACTTAAATCAAGCTTCCGGAGAGCATCATATGTGGAGTCACCTCTAGGGCAGTCTTGGGAGCTCGCCCGCAGCTTTTATCTGAGGAATGCATTCCCAGCGTTAGATGTTGGCGACAGACTTCACCAGCAAACACAAGCACTTGACGACAAGGATCGAGATATGACTATGACAAAAAAGATTGAAAACGAACGCTAAACGATGATCCCGTGCTAAACCAACTGTGAACCGCCATGACCTGTCTGGTCCCGTGTAACACTATGCCTATGCTAATGATGATAAATCTCCTGCTTGATTGCTTGACCCGGATCGCCCCCGGAAACTCCAAACCAGTGATAGTGCGGCGATGTCGCCAATGTTTGAGAAACCCCACCTCTCAGCCTATTTCTTCGGGAAGATCCTTTTCGTACCACCGACTTTACCCAGCTCGCCGAATCTATTTTTACTAAAATCGTCTTGTGCAGACACTCTCCTCTCGCCGCTCGCCAGCCGGACCTTTTCTTTCACGCTCTCCACCCAGGCCTTGCTCTCTTCGCTCATCTCCACCTTCTTTCCATTTGGACCAGCAAGTCCCAGGAACGAGCTATCTTCCTCGCGCCAGCTCATGCGTGAGTTATTCATAGAGCGGTTGAATGAATCATCAGCGACAGCACTTTCGTCAAATCTCCTTGACACCAGGCCAGGGGTAGATTGACGAAGTCGTGGCGCCTCGCTGGTGGTCGACCCCACGCTTCTACGTGTCTTTCGTATAGCCAACGGTGACATGGGTGCTTCGAGAGCTGAAACGGAGCGAGAAGGCGGGCTTGATCCGATATCTGGTCCACGGCTCGCCGCCCGGGGAAGATCTTGTATTTCCACCTTTGTATTCTCTGTTACAACAGAGCGGCGGCCATGGTGGCTGGCGTATTGGTTCAAATACTCGCTCAGGTCAGCCCATCCACCACCGACGCGGACCATGACCCGTTCTCCAGTTTCACCAACGCACCGAATGGAAAGCTTTATGGGAGCTTCTCCAGTAGATCTTGCGAGATGATAGACCTTGATATCCTGGCCTCTTGACTGCCTCGGCCTGGTACTCTTGGCGGGAGACAGTGTAAAGGATGGGGTAGCATTTCGAGACACCGCTGTTCGCGACGAGAGGCTCGACCTCGACCTGTTAAATGGCTCCTTGGATGGCTTCTTCCTCAGCTTGGGAAGCTGGAGATCAGGGGGGTTCAGGTTGATGGGGGGTTTCTCTGTCAGCTTTATCTTTGGGATGCGCTCGATGATCTGGCTGATCTGCTGGTGAAGGTGCTGAGCCCCCAGACTTTCTCGACGCATGATTGGGCTTGGTGCCTCGGATACTGAGTATGAATCGTCGAAGAAGCTTTCCGAAAAGGAGCCCTCGATAGGGGTCCTTGGCAGCATTGAATCATCATAGTTGTCATACTCATCCAACCTGGAATCGTCAAGGGGCGAATCGGGTAACTCTCTTGAGCTTGTCTTGGGAGCCGGTGGCGAGCTAGGCGGGCTGGCCTCGATATATTCCGCCTCGCGGACACGAGATTTGGCAACCCCGGGTGACGCAGAAACCTCCGGGAAGTCACTTGACATGCCATCGAAACGCATCGAGGTATCATGCAAGACTGTCGATGCGATCGACGAGACACTGCCACGTCTTGTCTCATTCCGGAGCGGGGGTAATTCTAATTCTTCGTCCTCTTCCTCGCAAGGACTTAGGAGTCCTTCGTCGAGCTCATCAAACTCAGGGTCCACAAGCCACTCCGAAGAACCCGAGGGCTGCAGATGGGAAAGTTCATCGCTATCATCATCCACTTCTACATTTTCGACGCCGGTAGACGCATGCAGTGTGGGAGCCAACGGAGCAGTTGGTCTTTCCGTGTCTGTCATATCCGAGGCGGTTGTAGCCGTGATATCCGCGGCAAGATTTCGAGCGGGCTGAGGTGCAAGGCCATCACGAACGCCATCTAAGCCCAGCCGCAATCCCAGTCCAAGTCCAACTTCCTCGTCGGGCGGCTGAATCTTGACTGTTGGGCTAACAACATGTTTGCTAGCATCTTGTGGCGAGTCTGTGGTGACATCGTCTGAATTGCCAGCATCCCGCGAGTTGGAGACATCCAGAGGCTTGGGAGAAAGGTGTACAGCTCTGTTTGGTTCAGAGGACACCTCGAAACCATCCTCATCATGAGGCGCAAGCGAAGAGTCGTGTTCATCAATCGCAGGAAGCGCTGGAGTTTTGTCAAGGAGGCTGGTATCTGCTGTCTTGACCGACGTTTCCTTTTCTACCAGATGACTGGATGGCCGCTCAACATGGCCCCATTCACTCTCTTGAATCCTGCGCTCACAAGCCACGACCCAATCGCCGTATCCTTGCTCAAGGGCCTCCATGCGATCGAGCCACTCTTCAGGTAGGGTATCCGGCATACCCTCCAAACGATCCAACATATAATCTAATGTCGAACCTGGTTTTGTGATTTTCTTCTCTACCACGACCTTCATAACATTGAAATCGGATCGCGTCAAGCTGGGACCAGTGGGGCTACCACCACCCTCCAAAGGCGAGTTTGATGGTGGCGAAATGACATTCCACCCTGAACTTAAAGCGGCCTCAGCGTCTTCCAAGTCAAGCAAAAGCCCTGGTATTCTGTGAAGAACCGCGAGCCGGATAGTCCAGAGCCGAAGAAGTTGATTCAGTCGGGCCAGAATTGGAAGCGTTTGTACCACAATAGCTGTAACCACCGCGGTGAGATCTTCCATCTTGACATAACTCGACATTGTTGAGAACCCGGAACGAATAGATGCTGGAGTTGTGGGCCTTGATAGCGGCATGATGTGGTTGTTCATGACGTGACTCTTTAGGTCGTCCACGGACAGAGCCTCGAGCTCATACTGAATCACCTCGATTCTCTCCTCATATCGCACGATGTCGTCCGTTCGGACACATCCGATGTATTCTTGGCCTGCAGGCTCCGAGTCAGACCTCTTCAACCAGTCTAGTTTTCGCCTCGCGCTCGAGACCTCAAAGCCCGCTGGCCCAGCCGGGTTTGGCCAATACCAATCCTTCAGCTCACGGGTCCATTCCCAAATCTTTTTGAATGAAATTGCCGTCTGCATAGCAAACTCGCACTCCGCGTTGGAAGCGCCATCTAAACAGGCTTTCAGTGGCCCCGTAGGCGATGCCAGCGCATCCACCACAGTAGCGGGAGAGATGTGTACAAGGATATCATTGGAGGGTCGCAGTAGTTTCGAAGGCGACTGGCCTCCGGAGGGGATCCTCACGGGGCGGAGGATCGGTGGAGGATCGTTCATCGTCACTATTCGACGCTGCTCGGGGGTGCAAGGTTGATATCGCTAAGCCTTACTCCATCCCGTTGAATGGAGCGAAAGTGATGTCATTGGGGACAGGAATCGCATTCGATGCTCATAGTCGGTGGAGGAGATGTCGGTCAGTGGGGAGATGCCAGCGTGTTGGCAGAGGTCGGCGGTCAGGGAGACTAAGGAGATGGATACGATCGAATGGAGGAGGAAGCTGGTCGGGTTAAGCTGAGGCAGTCTTGACCAGCAAGTAAATACTGGCCAGCCTCCTTCTCATCGGCTGCAGGTGTCGCGTGGTGGGGAAGAGAACAACGGGCAAAGACGGCAGCGCAGAGCATACATAGAGTAGAAATGCAGTCAATGCGCGCTGAAACAGGGAATACGGGTGCTAGGCTGAAGCAGAACAAAGTAGTGAAACAGGTGTTGGACAAAAGAACGTAAGCCAGAAACTCGGTTGGCGGAACTGAACAAGTGCAAGAACAGAAATCGAAGAGAGCAAGAAGTGAAGAGTGAAGGGAAGGTTGATGAACGAAGGGATGAGGCGGACAATACATGTAGGTAGGGAGACGGATGACGATCGAAAAGCAGGACGGGGGAAAATTGAGGCGCCTCTGGCTGTGTGGCAGTGGTTTGCCGCCTGGCCTCTGGTACGCAGGGGGTACTTGAATCGGCTGCAAAATACGTGTTAGTCAGGGGTATACAAGCAGTATATCCAACTGGCGCGCTATCAGTCGCGCCGGGCCTATAGCGGCTGCTGGTACGGGCCTCCTCCCCAGTCCTAAGGTAATGCCGGCCTAACGCCGTCCAGTGTTATGCGCGGCAATAGAGACCAGGGTCTATGCTGCGCTGCTGATTCGCATGCGCACAGCTTGGCAGCTGCTTCCAATGGAGTCAATTGGGTATGCTCGCCCGAGACAGCGCGAGGAAAAAGCAATGGCCGCTACCACGAGACCAGCAGACTGATAGAGACCCAACAGCCACGCCAAACAAGGCAAGGAATAGCAACCACCTCCACTCTAAAGGTGGTTCATTGTGTGCACCCAGTAGGCCAATGGTGTGCTACGAGCAATATCAGACGGTGGCAAATCTCAAAATTCAATCGCGATCGCAATAGGAGGGGAGCTATTCTAACAGAGAGCAGGATGCGCTCCTAGCTCGTTGGTTACCGAGATGGAAGATATGCCAGGCCTAAAATCGAGAACAACAGACAACCGTCCACCTGATCAGCCAAGGAGGGAGCCGAGAGCTGGGGGCAGGCGCACTACTGAACACGCTATCGGCGATTTCGATAGGCGACTGCACGTCACGCTGGTCCCCCAGCGCCTTGCTCATAGACATCACCGCACATGTATAATTTGACAACGCATCGCCCACAATGTTGCACCCATATGCAAGTGATGCATACGCATATCGACATATATCTCACGTGGTTAACATTTACCCAGCCCCCTCACATAATCAATTTTTTATGCAACGATAATAATTTTCACTTTTTGGCTAGATTCGTAACTATAGGATCTAAATACGTGTGTAAGAGTATCCTACGAGGTCTCTGAAGATGTTGCCAGCCAGAGAATCTTACAATGGACAGACATAAATATCTGGCAGAAGCCAGCAGAGTGTTCAACAAGAGAAAAATCAACAAACTCCAGAGCGCCCACCCGGATTTCTCATCATCCTCATGGCAATCGTCATGGTCGAACGGAGTCCAACTTTTCCCCAAACAAAGCAAAAACTACGGACAGGGGAAAAGAACAGAACGGAACAAAGAGCCGCCCAAACAAAAGAAAAGACAAAAACCAACTCCGTACGCTGTTTGATGAGAAGTTAAATCCTGAGCCCCATGCGGTTAATGATGTCCCAAAGTCTAATAAGAGAAGATATATATGTGCGAGAAAATTGCTTGGCTCGAATCCAGCGAGGAAGGAGGAAGCACAAGTTGAAGAATAGTAGAAAAAAGAAGAAAACAATTGAATCATAAGATGAAGAAACGTTTCCTAGCCAAGAATTGGCTGCGTAGTCATCGTAATATCTTCACTAACGGCAGGAGGGAAGACTCCAGGGCCAAAGTCGTCGGCACTAGCATTCACTCCCTCTGGAGGGAACTGAAGCCATTGGTCGACATCGAAATCGGCACCAGCAACAGCATTCCAATCGAACTCGTCATGACTTTGCATGAAGTCGAGGTCCATGTGTTCCATCTCACCATTCACCTCATCAGAGCCGCCGCTGGCACTAGGCGTGACACCGACATCAGTGTGTGGTGGAGAGTGACCCGCAGACATCTCCAGGTCGGCAGCATTGATGGTGTTTGGTGGCATCATTGTCTTCGCCGGCTGAGGCACCTTCTCGTTGAACAGAGACTCGGATGCCGTCATGTATGGGACATTTTCGGGTGGTGGTGTCTGAGCGCTGAATTCCACAGGCACCCGCTTCATCATGGCCAGGGTTGACGGGGCGATATGGGCATTAATGTCAATGGCTGCCTTTCGCAGTGCTGCATCCAAAAAGCCAGTGGCATAGTCTGCTGCAGCGTAGATATCGCGGAGCTTCTCCATTACTCGCATGCACTGGCGGAAACCATACGTTGCACGCTCCCTAGCATCGGCTACGGGATTCTTCATCTCCAGCAGATGAATAATCATAGCCGGCAGGATAACAGTAACACCGGTAGTTGGCAAGTAGCGTTCGAGTTTGTGTGTATGCAATTCGGATGCCATTCGAGTAATGTGCATAGCGGCATCACGAACTCTCAGCCGAGACATCTCCTGAACTTGGCGAGATGTGGTTGGAGTGTGAGTAGGCGATGAAGGCAGGAACTGGGGGCGATGCAGAGCTGAAATGGTAGTGTAGTAGACCATGTGAAGAAGTGTTCGCTGAACAGCCACTGTAGACTTGCCATTGCCAACCTCTAACGGGGTCAGGGTCCTGTATTGGCAGCATGCGGGGAGGGACTCAGCCCACGCCATAAGCTCCATATCTACTGTATGAACACCCTCCACGTTGTCCAGCTGCTTATTGGGGAACAGCATCATTGTGCTGTTCGTCGTGTTCTCTGGCTTCATCTTGTCTCTAATCAGGACAGAGTACTGCGCCTTCAGCATGTGGCTGATGCACACACACAGCTGAGCTTTCGCGATGCACATGATAGCCAGCTCCTTCTGCATGGCGATATCACGCATGAGGACGCAATCCTGAGGAATGACAGTAATGTTGTCTGCGAGCGCCTGGATCTCAAAATCCGCCTCCTCAAGCATAGGTACGTCGTAATCTTCGTCCTTTATCCTTGTGGGGCGTCGCATGCCGAGTGCTATCAGGCGATCTCGCATAAAGCAAGACCACCAGATCCGTTTCCAGAGCTTTTGCTTCGACAGGCACATGGTTGTGGATCCTGGGTTGCGGTGAAGACCGATGGTGTGGGCCAGAGAAATCGCAACACCCATCCAGTGCCAGGTATCCTTCTGATCATCGGGGGTCTCATACCAGTACGTCATGAGGAGCAGAGCCTGAACAAGAACGAGTCGATCGAGTTCATAGTCAAAGTCGTAGAGAAGCTAAGAGTGACATGTGTCAATATATGATTCGGTTACAAACAATCAATGTGGGTGTAACTTGAGGTCATGCGGACTCACCCTGGTTTTCTGGAAAAACGATTTACGTGCAGACTTGCGTGAGGGGTAACCCGCCTCACGCAGGTACTTCATGTCAACGAATGCCGTTGCGGAGAACATGACAGCCTGGTACAAAAACAAGCTAGTCTGGCCGTTGAGTCCGTCTCGGCGGTTGACGATGCTCAGGAACTCATGGATATCCATGAGGGGCATAAATGGATGCACGTACTCCACATATGCCTGGAGCAGAGCATTCTGCAACGCAATAGTGGGAAGGGTGAGAGCACCCTTGAAATGCAGATAGCTGACATCTTCCGGTGCGACTTTCGAGGGCAGAGGTCGCACAAATGGTGGCAGCTGGGCGTTTGCATCATGTTCCTCCAGGGAACTGAGAAACTGGGCCGTGCGGTTATCCTCAAAGAGTGCGGTGGCAGCTTGGATTACATTGTTGGTAGGCCACTGAGGAGTCGATTGCTGGCGCGGCTGTTGCTGCTGCTGCGGTTGTGGTAGTTGCTGCTGCTGCTGCGATAATAGCGGAGACTGAGACTGAGGCTGCGGGGCTCGCGAGGGATTCTCCGTGGCCGGCTGGAGCTTGTTGAGGAGAACGGAGTCGTTTCGATATCCGGAACGTTGGTCTGTACGATGACGCCCAATTAGCACTGTGTTACCTCCCAATGCAGGCATCAAGCGAGGCGCCGAGGAGTGACTGGATCACATGCGAAAGGCGGAGAAGCCTGGCTCGCGATGAGATGACGCCAAGCTACCTAGGCGAGTCCAATTGAACCTTGGAGGCCAGGTTGGTGGTTTGGTTGGAGGTGTGGGGTGAGGGCTGGCTGATACCTCGCAGGCGGGGCACAGGCCAATTGGAGAGGCGCCGAAATGCGGAGAATTGTCCTTTTCCATCAAATTCTCCAACAAGCGGCCATCCGCCAGCGGCACCCCACTCCAGCCAATCACACAGCCAGAAGCCAAGGGGCAGATGCTTTGGGGTTTCCACTTACAAATGAGATGTGGCACATGACTGTCAACCCCAGACAAGGGCAGACGTGACACGCTGGATGCATCAGCGTCGCTGGAAGAAATGACAGATCCGCTGCTGGGACGCCTCAAGTCTGCTGCGCTGCTAATCGGCACAGGATGGCTGTGGGCAGTGATCGATTTCGCGCGGAGCACTTGGGGGTCAGCCGTGGCCCCGGACTGCTGCTGCTGTCCCACGCTAGCGGTCAAAAGGTGTTTCCTTGAAAAAGGGGGGTAAAGTTAGCCCAGTCAATTCTAAGAATGCATCCCATGGCATGTGTAGTATCGAGGGTAATTTTTGTGCACTGCGCAGGGTCGCAATCTCTCTTTCCTTGCCCGTTATAGGGTTGAGGGATATTGCCTGGC